AGAATTTCTTTCGAATAGGCATGATATCAAAATGAATAGGATTTGAAGGGGTGGGATTTATAGACAAAGCATCCGCGTTGCTAGTCCCTTTTTGTAAACAATGTTGTAATAATATTCCTCAAGTTTGAGACGCCAGCGCACTAGTCGCGACGTAGGATCCTTAACGCGGTGTAACCAAGTTAGAAGTTGATGGTCTGTGACCAGAGTAAATGGACGTCCATAGAGATATGGACGGAAATGATTCACGCAGTAGATTATGGCAAGAAGCTCTTTTTCGATAGTGAAGTAGTTCTTTTCGGCCTGGTTTAATACCACGCATAGGCAATTGAGAGATCTTGTCCGATCTTTCCCTGACTCAAAACGCCTTCTATGGCAAAGCTGAATGCGTCAGTTGTAAGAACGAATGTTTGACTAAAGTCTGGTTACTGGAGGATTGGTTCCTTGCATAGTAGCTCTCGTAACGTGTCGAATGCCTTTTGCGTTTCTGTATTCCATGTAAAGGTAGCGCCCTTTTTCAGCAGATTGGATAAGGGGCGATCTTTGAGAAATCGGGCATAAAGCGATGATAAAATCCTGCTAAAACTAGAAATTGTCAAATTTGTTTAACGTTTTGCGGAGTTGGGAAATTTCTAACGGCCGAGATCTTCTGTGGGTCTGGTTGGACTCCATTTTCTCCGATGATGTGCCCTAGGTAGATTATTTCATGTCGAAGGAATTCGCATTTATTCAGTTGCAGCATTAAGTTAGCTGATTTTAATCGACCCATGAATTTAGCCATTTTCTCATGCTCTCTTAATGAGCTGACGTATAATACTATGTCGTCCATATATACAAATAGCTCTGTTCTTTGTAGGCCGGTTAGAACCTGGTCCATTAAACGTTGTGTTACTTCCGCCGTTTGCGCTTGTAGGGTACAAAAAAAGAAGCTTCACGACCGACTTATTTTAGGAAAAAGATCAGCTTTATTGTCTTCGTAACAAGAGCGTACTTGCACAGGATAAACTCAAAATGATCAAAACAACGTGCCGAACGTGCTCAGCGGAACAAAGGCTAATGGCGAACTCTTGCCGTAACGCTCGTGTCTCCTTCGTGTACGCCTAATGCCATCTATATCCTTCCTATTGTCGCACACGCAACACGTTGGAAGGTGGCCGGAGCGTTTCTTAGACCGAATGGCATCCGCGAGAACTGATAGTGTCCGTGCGGTGTCGAAAACGCGGTCTTATGCACGTCAGCGGGGTCCATGGAAATTTGATGGAAGTCGCTCACTAAGTCCAATACAGAAAAGTATTTGGCTCCGCCGAGCTGGTCTAAAATGTCGCAAATGTTTGGCAAGGTGTATGGAATCTCGATAGTTTTCTCATTCAACTTCTTGAAGTCGATAACCGTGCGCCATCTTTTATTGACCATTAAGTCTGGTTTTTTCGGCATGATAGGTAAGTTGTATGGAGAATTAAATATTATTAAAATATGGAGGGTTTAATGATTTCTTTAGAGAGGAGCTGATCAACTTGGCGATTTATTTCTTTGCGATGTATTAGTGGGAATCGATATTGTTTAGTGTGTACTAGACAGTTATCTGTAATCAAAATCTCATGTGCTAACACGTGAGTTTTATCAAGATGTTCGTCAGGAACATAAATCTATCCGCATTATTCTTTACTAAGATGATAATGTTTTCCCTCTCAATGGATGTTAGATGATCAAGTCGTAGACGTGAAGGATAGCAGACACTCTGTTTAGGTGTGGAGCGCGAGAATCGAAATTGCAAGGAGTGAGGTCCTCGAGTTGATTGAGTTCATAATTGTCTCGACCTTTAATAATAGTGATTTCTTTGTTTTTTGCAAAAGAACGAACACTATATTTATAAGTAGGTTAAATCGCTTCGTCTATGGAACGAACTGGTTTGTTTTGTGATCCCAGTACATGAGGGAGATAATTGTTGATGGGGGATGATTGGGGTGATTCGTAAGTTTCCATACGGGCACGCATGCTTTCTACACGGTGTAAAGATCCCGTATGGTTGTGAGTTCCCATACGGACACGCATGCTTTCTGCACGGTGTAAAGATCCCGTATGGTCGTCGAGAGGTTCATTAATAATATTAGATTGAGGACAGGGAATAAGAGGAAGCGATTCATCTTTGTTAGTTTCGGTAGTTTTTTTTGTTTGAATTAGTAAATTCTCGAGCTGTAGTTACAAATAAAATGGATGACGGATGATTATGATTATTTTTTTGTTCTGTTAGAGAGGTGTCACCTTTGAGTTCGGGACAAATTTGTGGCTTATCAGATATCTGGTCGATTTCTTAAAAAGTTAAGGTGGGTATCGCAACTTCAATTTCGCGGTCTAAAGTATTTATTATTCTAATATAGACTTTGCTATTAGTGCACGTAACAAGGGAATCTCCCACAAAAATGCCCTGGAGAATATGGAGGCATGGAAAGTATCCTGTCTTAATTTCCGGAGTATAAATTCGAATTACAAGCCCCGTGTTAGTGCGCGGGGGAATAACTATTGTTTCGCGTTCCTTAAATGGAAAGGCGTGGTTGTGCCACATAAGACTATTCTGCGTGTAGTTAATGCATGCATTGTGTTTCCTGAAAAAGGAGGTACCCATGAACCTAAGAATACATGGACGGAGCCTTATACGAGGGGAAGTTGATAATTGCAGTGAAGGGGGAGCACTATGAGCGTAGAACTACTACCCTGACGTCGGCTAATTCCGTACTGGTTTCGGTTCATTCCGTGAGCTCGGAAGTGTTCGGTATACGTGGAGGTTACATTTTACTCAGCAATTCTTAACAAATTATTTACGAAGAACTTTGAAGATAATTTATTTTGAAACTTTTATAGTAGCTATTATAGGCGGGTTCTAATTAGGGAGCTCCGAGGGGGGGGTGAGGAGCAGGAAATCCGCGGGGAGGGGAAAGTCGCTCAGAACGTTCTCGACCTGATCCGGGGTCCGCGGGGAGGGGAAAGCCGCGAAAAGCCGTTCGCTCCAGCTGGCCTGACCCGGGGTCCGCGGGGGCGGAGGAACCGCGTCGTGGGTGCGGAGTCCGCGGGGACGGGGGAACCGCGTCGTGGGTGCGGGATGCGCGAGGAGAGGGGAACCGCGTCGTGGGTGCGGGGTCCGCGGGGACGGGGGAACCGCGTCTTGGATTAGGTCGCGGGGACGGGGGAATGGCGTTGTGGGTTCGCGGGGAAGAGGAAACCGCGCTCGCCGCCGCGCAGCCGCCGTCGCCGCCGCCGCCGCCGGAGCTGCTCGCGGGTGGGCCCGCGATACCACCGCAACGGCGCTCACCGCCACCGCGCTCACGGACCCACCCCGCCGTCCCAACCCGCTCTTATCGCGTTCCATCCCTCTCGCGGTTTCTCCGTCCCACCCGTTATCGCTCACGTTCTCTCCCGCGGTATCTCCGTCCCACCGATTGCATTGATTCTCGCGCATGATGTAATTCAACGAAGAGAGAAGGAACAAAAAATTTAACACATAATGTATATATATTTAACAGACGATGTATATATATTTAGCACATGATTAATACATTTAACACATAATGTACATTTAATACATTTACATAATTAATTAAAGACAATTAAAATGCCTCGCAATGATATCACCTAACACGTGTTAAAAATGCAATTCAACAATTTTATCAGCGCCGATGTACGGCGGCTGTCACATAAATACTTTTGTGCAATACATGATTTTCAGGTACAATCAAAATATCGATGAGATCATCGAACACGTGTTAAAAATGCATTTTAGCATTTTTGCACAAGCGCCGATGTACGGCAGCTGTGACACAATAGACTCACATAATATAATATTTTTTCAATCTAAATGTCTCGCGGTCACGTCATCGAACACGTGTTAAAAACGTAATGAAGCATTTTGATCAAGCGCCAATGTACGGCAGCTTTCCGCGAGATCACGTTGCGAAATCAAACGATATCTGCAACATTTGCGAAAAATAGGCCACACCCATTAGTTTCGGTATATATATTGCAAAGATTTTGATACACCTCGTCAAGTGCTCACCTCGGTGAGATTCAGTGCAACCAGATGATTATGAAAATGTAACTTTCGTTAATGGACACCAAAGAAGATGAAGATATTGTTACTCATATGTCATTAGAGGGAATAATCAATTTTCGTATCTTCGTCTCTTGCAAAAATACACTGTCGAAGAATTTATACTACACGATGGTTATTCATGCTGGGGATGCAGATGTCCATTGTATCAAATAATGCCATGTAACATGTGACCTATTTGCACAGAGTGAGAACTGCTGCGAAAAACATTGCAAAATATTGGTGTATTCGTGCCAAAAAGAACATGGAGCAAACGATACGAGATCTGGACGAGCAAGCCACCCGGCTAATTACGCGAGAAGACTTTATCGCGTAAGAAGAGCGTGTCAACGAATTCATCGATTCGCTTGACGAGCAGAGTCGAAATCCGCGATTATCGATCGATGTGAAACAATCTGTCATCGCTTATATCGCGCGACTGGAAAGTTTGAAAGATTCGGTGCGCGGACGATTCGTGCAAGTGGGTGCAGGATACGGTGCGGAACTCAGATGGCGTGAGATAGACGCAGCTTTAAATAGTCGTATACTGACCGGTGCAGTAATAAATTCCAGACACATTGAACCTCGACAGTTTCTGGAAGATGCGCGAGAAATTGTGCTCGAACGTGTGCAAAATGTTATGCAGAGACATAATTAAGATAAATGTATTTAACGATGAATTCGTAACGGGTGACAAACGTGAGAATAAAAGTGTTATTACGAGAAACTGTAAACTCTATCTTTGTTCCGATTTACGCGTGTGGTATGATTCGCGCGTTGTTGGACCTACCTTTGCGTCGCTGGAAGAATTCCAAGAACGTGACAGCGGGTGGGCATTATCGCGTATATTGAACTTACTAGTAATATAAATAAGTTTAATCCTTTGCACGCGAGGTGTCATATCCAGTTACCGCGAGAAATTATGATGAAGAGAGCGGTCATGAACGTGCAATCTACAGACAATGCGTGTTTCGCGTTGTCGGTGGTGGACGCTCAATATCCAGCTAAAAGTCACGTGGAACGGGAATCGTCGTATCCGCATTATATATCTGTGTTAAATCTCAAAGACATTGAATTTCCAATGACGTTAAATCAAATAAAAAAGTTTGAGAATCTCAACGCAATCTCCATCAACGTATATATCATCGAGAACAAGGAACAAGTATCGATCCTACCGATTCGCCTTGCTGACACGAAGAAGGAGAAGCATGTCAATCTACTGTACGTGGAGAAAGATGGTGTGGGACATTTCACAGGAATCAAGAATTTGTCCCGCCTCGTTAGCTCGCAACTGAGCAAAAAGAAGAATAAGAAATACATTTGCGATAGGTATGTATAATAAAAATTAAAAAATAAAAATTTTTAAAAATTTTTTGAAATAAAAATGTAAATAAAATAGATTTTTTTCAAATGTCTGCACTATTTTAGTTTGAGCGAAAAATTGAAGGTCCACACTATAGACTGCGGAGAGATGAATGATTGCGCGATAAAGTTACCGAGCGAAGACGACAAGTGGCTGAGTTATAACAACTACAGCAGAAAGGAACGTGTCCCGTTTGTCGTGTACGCCGACCTGGAATGTATCCTGGAAAAAATGCAGAGAGATCCGGAAACGCCGAGCTACAAATATCAGCATCATCGAGTATTTAGCATAGGTTATTACGTTACACTGCTCGTATAACGACGCGTTATCGACGTATCAGTTTCGTCGCGATACAGATTATATTGCATGGTTCGCCGATGAACTCAGATGTTTAGCACACAAAGTAAAATCTATTATATCCACTAATGTACCGATAGCAGATTTCACGCGAAACGATTGGAAAAAATTTCGCAACGCCACACACTGTCACGTGTGCGAGAAACCGTTCGCGCCTGACGACTCGCGGGTACGCCATCACTGTCATTTGACTGGGCGATATACAGGTCCGGCACATTCAAATTGCAACATAAATTACCAAGATTCGCATTGCATTCAAACAGTTTTTCACAATTTGTCCGGCTATGATGCGCATTTTGTTATCAAGGAAATAGCTGAAGCATACCAGGGGCGTGTAGAACTACTTCCAATAACGAAAGAAAAATATATATCATTTACAAAAAATGTCCAAAACACCGAAGATAAAAAGAATCGAAATATTTGTATAAAATTGCGATTTATCGATTCATATAAATTTCTCAGTTCCAGTCTGGACAAATTGGCGTCAAATCTTAGCAAAGAGAAACTGAGAATATTGCAACGCGAATACTGTAATTTGTCCGCAGAAAATTTAAATCTTCTCACAAAAAAAGGTAATTATTTTCATACGAGTACATTGATTGTGTCGAAAAATTGAATGATAAATGTTTACCACCGCGCGAATCGTTCTACAGTTCATTGACAGATGACACCGAGAGCGATTACGCGCACGCATGCACGGTGTGACGGCGATTCTCTATCCAAACGCTCGGCGAGTACAGCGATCTGTATTTGAAAACAGACGTCTTGTTGTTGGCAGATATATTTGAAAATTTTCGCGATAGTTGCGTCGAAAGTTATGGATTTGACCTCGCATACTATTATACTCTACCCGCATTTACGTAGGACGCGATGCTAAAACATACGCGAATCAATTTTGAATTGCTGACTGACATAGACATGGTCATGTTCGTCGAACGCGGTATACGCGGTGGGCTGAGTCAATGTTCCAAGAGATATGCGCGAGCCAACAATAAGTACATGCATACGATCCATCGAAACCGTCATCATATTTGATGTATTTTGATGTAAATAATTTATATGGCTGGGCAATGTGTCAACCATTGCCGTACAGAGATTCTCAATGGGTCAACAACGTAACAAATTTTAATGTTATGGAAGTTGCGTTAGATTCCTCGATTGGCTATATTCTAGAGGTAGATTTGGAATATCCGCAAAATCTTCACGACGCGCACACTGACCTATCGTTCTGTCCGACGCGCGATAAGCCGCCCGGCAAGCGGCAGGACAAGCTCCTCGCAACTGTATACGATAAGAAGCGTTACGTCATACTTTATCGCACTCTGTAACAGTGCACTCGTCACGGTCTCCGTATCGCAAAGATTCATCGTGTATTGCAATTCGCGCAATCCCCATGGCTCCGTGATTATATCAAACTAAATACGAAATTTCGAACATTAGTCACGAATGAATTTAAAAAGGATTTGTACAAATTACTGAATAACGCGGTATTTGGCAAAACCATGGAGAATGTGCGCAATCACGTCGATGTGCGGCTTTTAACGAAATGGAAAAGTAGATTTGATGCGGAGGCGATGATCGCGAAACCGAATTTTCACAGTCGTAGCATCTTTTCGGAGAATCTGGTCGCGGTAGAAATGCGCAAACTCGAGGTCATGTTTAACAAACCAATCTACGTGAGTATATATATCCTCGACATATCCAAGACTTGTATGTACGAATTTCACCACGACTACATGCTACCTTCTTTTCAAGAAAAGTGTAAAGTAATATACACTGATACTGATAGTCTTATTTACCACATCGATTGCGACGATGTTTATGAAATCATGAAGCGCGACATTAGGAAATTTGATACGAGCGATTACGCGGTTGATAATGTGTACGGTATTCCGCTCGCTAATAAAAAAGTCCCGGGCCTGATAAAGGACGAAAACAACGGCGCAATTATGATCGAATTCGTCGGGCTTGGAGCCAAGATGTATGCCTAGCGTGTTGATGGTAAAAAACATACAAAAAAGATAAAAGGTGTCTAGAATAATGTTGTAGCAAAATCGATAACATTCAACGATTACGTGTGATGTCTGCTGGACAAAACTGAAATGACGCGACAGCAATTTTGCATAAGATCAAAGTTGCACGAGGTGTATACGATATCCGAGACGAAGCTCGCTCTAAGTCCGTACGATGATAAACGATACATTGCCTGATTCTACCCTGCCATGGGGACATTACAAGATACCATTGTAAATAAAATCTCGCATATTTGTAATAAACACATATAGTATATTTGTATTTTAATCTCATACAATATATTTTTAATAACTTAGGTAGTTAAATGAAAGTAAAGTAAGATATTCTCTACCATAAAACAAAAATTTGTATCTCAAATGTATCACAATAATTTGTATCACACAATTCATTGATATACTTCTTAGGTTATACAAGGCTAACAGGGGGCTTATTTACGCAAATATTTAAGCTAAAAGTCTCTTTTGACTATGCAATGTACCCTTCCAAGCAAATTTATTGCACTTTTCTCGTTTTTACCTATCATGATCCGGCAAGTGCTTGGCGATTATATTCGCATCAGATTGCGCCATACTCTCTTCCGTTAAGGACTTCACCATGGTTAGGGGCAGAAAGGATCAGAAAGGATCCTGAGAGCGGCCATGCCTCGCGATTTAGCTGCGATGGACGATATCCGAGACGAAGCTCGCTCTAAGTTCGTACGATGATAAGCGATACATTGCCTGATTCTACCCTGCCATGGGGACATTACAAGATACCATTGTAAATAAAATCTCGTATATTTGTAATAAACACTGTCACGTGGTCCCGTGAGATAGGTGATTCGCGCGAGCACGGATCAAAACGATAAAATTGAAATCGCGTAGGATTTCGGGAGGGAGAATGACAGCCCTCCGGATGTGTCCCTCCGGCAACCGACAAGGGGCGGCAACGCGAAACCTGGGCGCCAGACGTGCTCTAGGTCACGTCACTCGCGAAACGCAACGATTACGCGATAGCGCAAAAGAAATCTTCACACGCGACGACGCTCGACAATCAAACGCCGCTCCCGAAGTCGATCGCACGAGGGCCGGCCGGCTCTACCTAACGGCAGAGGGGCGCCAAAGGGCAGGTTCGGCTAAGGGCGATAGGATGGCACGGGGCGGGCGAAAGAATTCGTACTCCAGATTAACAGTAAAACAAAAAATATTAAGGTTTATTGGCCGCTTGGAAAGGCGGTAAGAAACGGCGGAGAAAAAAAAAGATAATACAGTTCGGTAAGAAAAATACGGACGAGACAAGACTGGTTCGACGCTAGTACGCGCGGGTAGTTCGGCGGCGCGATGAACTCCCACGTAGCAAAAAAAAAGACAAGAAACCGACATGAACTTCGGCCGGAAACAAAAAGAAACGCATTCGAAACTCAACGGCGCGATAATACAATAACGGACGGGGCCCGGTACGACGCGAGTACCAAGACTACAAGTATTGCCGGGAAAGTCAATCGTAAGCTTACGCGTCGGACACTCGTACGGGAACGAAACAGATAGAAACTTGACTCACACCGATGCGCAATGGAATCGCGCGCAAGGTCACAATACAGCGCGACGCACGACACTCGTGATTCCGAGTACTCACATACTTACTCTAACGCTCGCGCGCTCAGGCGCGAGAGCTTTGCGGCGAACTCGCGACGACGATCTCCGGGTGGCTCGATACGCGACTCACGACACTCCTGATCGCTCACGGCAGATTCAATGAGAATCCTCGCACTTGGGGACGGACGCCGGTACGCTAAACCAAAGAGCAACGACGAGATACGCGTCGCCAAAGGGGCGCACGCGACGAAACTCTAACTAAAATGGCGTTCACGTCCGCAGCCCAGTGAGAAACAATTTGTCGACCCGACGTCGATTCGACGTCGAAAAGTGGGTTCGAAATGAGATCGAAATTGACATCGACATCGATGTCTTTTTGACTCCCATGTCGACCTCTTGTCGATTCAAACTGCGAAATCGATTTGACATTGATCATAAATCAAAATCCTGCCCAAGGAGAACAGAAAGATCAAAATGACATAAAAAGAAGATCAAATTTTAGTTTGTCAAAATGATGTCAAATTGCATAAATTTTTGATACATTCTTGATCATTCCCTGAATGAGAAATGATCGCCAATTCGATAATACTTATTTACGGAAATTCCTAAAGCGGTCACCCATCCAAGCCATGAACCTTCTGAAACGTGCTTAACCTTGTGATCGTCCGAGAACCGATGCTCCGATGACCTATAAATATTAATTGCTAATAAAAGTATACCAATAGTATAAATCTTTTTAATAGATGTCAAAAAGATGAAATATGTATTAGTTAAGATATATTTTGTTTATAAATATAAAGTATGCATATATAAAATATTAACAAATATGAAGTTACAATTTTTACTAAAATTTAATTTTGTATATGCGAAATGGCATTTGAAATAAGGGAATTAAAAATAAACAATCGAGAAACATTCACATTTTTTTTAAATCAAAAAAATCGACACTATAAAAAAAAGTCAATATAAAGTCATTCTTTAGTCATTTGAAATCTAGATTAGAAATCTAGATTTTATAATGTAAAAAATGACGTAAATTCGGTCAATTTGACGTCAAATTGATATTATTTTGACTTTTCTGTTCTTTGGGTCGATTCGATGTCGATTCGACGTCTTTTCGACCAATTATTTCTCACTGGGTATATATGCATAATTAACTTTTAATTTTAGACTAATTTTGGGTTTTGGACATTGGTAACTTGGAAACAAGTATTTCTTGATGTCAAAACAATTTGATCGAAATGGCCTGATTTTCGATGTCAATTTTGATTCGATGAGTTTTCGATGACATCGACATCGAAACGACGTCGATTCGACATCAGCCTTCTCACTGGGAGAGTGCGAGCAAGATCC